TTTAGGGATGAGTGGTGTTAGATAAGGATTGTGCTAAGGGGTTCGGATGGTGGTTTAGGTTCAGGTGAAAATTTGAGAATCGGGATAATAATATCAAGGACATAAGGGATGTAAAGGTCATGATGTAACGTTTTGATTGTAACATAATAAGGAGCATTGACTATTATACGGAGAATTTTAAAGTGAAGGATTGGATGCGTTTGATGTTTGGAAATTTAGTTGCCCCCCACAGTTCAAGTCCGTAGGTTCTGATTGGTTTGAGTATGATCTTGTATATTAATAGTTTGTTTTCTATTGAGAGATTGGATTTTCTGTTAAGTAGCTGCCCAAATCGTCGGTTAAGTTCTTGTCTTTTAAGTCTGGTATGTAGGTTCCAAGTTAGTCTTTTGTCTAAAAGGAAACCAAGATACTGAACTGTGTCTGAGACAGGGAGAGATATAGAGTTGAAAAGGTTAGGTGGACCGGATCTGCGCCTAAGGGTAAAGGTGACATGCTTGTATTTGGATTAGTTGATTTTGATGCACCAGTTATTGCACCACTGCTCAATTGGGAGTGGGGTGACAGGATGGCTGTATCGTCAGCGAATGTTGTTAGAACGGTATCGGAATATCGGAATTGGTTGGAATGTCAGCGATGAAGAGAACTGGACCAAAGACACTGCCTTGTGGAACTCCAGCCTCAACTGGATAATAATTGGAGGATTCAGTGCCGCAGCGGACTTGAAAGGAACGATTTGAGAGGTAGGATTTGAGGACTAGGTACAAGGATTGGGGTAAATGGGTTTTAAGCTTGAAAAGCAAGCCATCATGCCACACGCAGTCGAATACTTGTGCTACGTTCAGAAAGACACCGGTGAAATGTAGCTTGTTTTAGAGGATATATGGTCAACAACGCGAAGGCCTTGTTGAACAGTTGAAGTGAGTGATGGGATGGAATACTGTGGGTTTCGGGTATGTGTATGATGCGTTTGAAAAGGATTTTTTCAAAGATTTTGGAGAGAATCGGGAAAAAGCTTATTGGTCTATAGGATGAAGTATTATTAACAGGTTTACCTAGTTTAGAGAAGATGATGATTATGGAGTGTTTTCATATCAGAAGAAAGTGAGTTGTGCGGAGGATACAATTGTATACGTATGTGAGGAATATAATTGCTTTTTTGGTTGTCTAAGGATCTGAGAAGTAAAGAGATAGCGTCAAGGGGATTTTCGAGGTTTTAGGTTGTTTATAAGGTATTTGACCTCAGAGGGATTGGCAGCTTTAGCAGGCAAGGGCGGAGGAATAGGAGAAGAGATGAATTATTTAATGTCAGCAGTGAGGGTGGAATGGAGTTCGAGGTGGGGAGTGAATGTTTTGGATAGGTGTTTGGCAAATTCTTCAGCTCTAGTCTCATCTGACAAAGCCCAGGTTCCATCATCGCATCGGAAAGGGTGGGAAACAGAATGATATTAGAGATTTTTTTGGTCAATTTCCAGAGGGAGTCGTCATCGGTTGATAGGGAAGAAAGGTATTGTACGATTTGTAAAGGTATTGGTAGGAATTGTACGATTGGGATCTAAAGGAAGCTAGTTTTTTTTTTTTTACCTGTTTGGAATAATAATTGTATATTTTTCGATGATCAGGATGCCTGGTTCTTTGTCAGACGATCCTAGACTGGCGTTTGGATTTAATTAGGTCAGTAAGTTCTGGGTGCAAAGGATTCTTTTTACGGTATGTTTTGTAGGGGAGTGGTAAGGATGCAGTCCAAACTGCTTGTTGGATCAAGGTGGAAGTTGGACTGCATTATCTAAGTCTTAAGGGGTTTTTAGGGATGCTCAGTCGAGTCTTAGTTATTAGGGTTATGTCAATGTTATAGTCCTGTAGAAAAAAAACTTAGTTCGTTGATGTGGTTTCGAACACCATTCGGATTCCAGGGGAGAATTGAAAGGGATTTTATTGAGAACATTTAAGGCATTCTTGGCGGTGGAATAAGGTTAGATATGACATTTGTAAGTAAGGAGATAGGTGGTGTGAAAAGAGATCTGAATTTGGAGAGGAATGATGAAAGGAGGCTCGTAAGATCATTGGTATTGTTATGGGGAGGAATGTACGACATATGGGGATGATTGAACTTTTGGGTGTTATTATGTAGGGGTGGTGGATCCACTAGTGGATCGAACCGAGGGGTGCCCTCCCCCTCCTGGGAGGTGAAAAAAAATTCCCAAAAAGTTTTAAAAAACAGCTATTTAAAGAAAAGAGAAATGCAGGGAAAATTCTTACTATATTTCCAAATGTGGTTTTAAAAAGAATATTATTTTGAACAGCACAGGTAATTTCTGCCCCTCCAGGTGGTAGAAAATAATTTTGAAAAAATTCCAAAAAGCAACTATTCAAATAAAAGAGAAATAAAGGAAAAAATCATCCTTATAGCCAAATTCAGCCGGGGGGCGCGTTCTCCGCCCCCTTTCCCCGGATGGTGGAAAATAATCTTTAAAAAAAGACCCAAAAAACTGTTATTTAAAGAAAAAAGAAATATGAAAAAAAATCATCTTCTAAGCCGAATTTTCTAGTGTTTAAAAAAAAATTATTTTCGTGACCAGTACTAGCGGATCCAGCCGGGAGGCGAGCGCATCTCTCCCTTGGATGGTAGAAAAAAAGTTCAAAATGGCAGCTGTTTAATGAAAATAAAAATGTAAGGAAAATTCATCCTCTTACACAAATTTTCTGATGTAATATATAAAAAAAAATTATTATTGTGAACATTTCTGCCAGGGGGCTTGCCACTTACCCCTCCGGGGGCAAAATAATCTTGAAAAAAGCTCCAAAAATCAGCTATTTAAAGAAAAGAGAAATATAGAAAAAAAAAAAACATCCTCTAAGACGAATTTTCTAATGTGATATAAAAAAAAATATTAACGTGATCGAGCAGGAGGGCGCGCCCCTCTCTCCCTTGGATGTTAGAAAAGAAGGTTCCGAAAAAGTTCGAAAAAAATGCTGTTTAATGAAAAAATAATTATAAGGAAAATTCATCCTTTTAGATGAATTTTCTAATGTAATATAAAGAAAGATATTTTTGTGACCAGCAATCGAGAATTCTGCCAGAGGGCGTCCCTCCTCCCTGCACGCTTAACGAAAATTCCAACGTAGTTCCAAAAACCAGCTATAAACAGAAATATATAGTGAATTCATCTTCAGTGAGGAATTTTCTGTTATATTAAAAAAAAATTATTATCCTGATCACTTTTATTTCTTACGGTTTGTCATACACGTCACGTGGATTGCGCTGGGAATTCGGAGCACGGCGAGATTTTGTGAAACAAAGAATAAAGTTTGAACAAAGAGCAAAAGTTGGCTAGCAGGCACCTCTTTACCAGGTGCTTCCCCCCCACCCCTACCATTTCCTCCACCACTACCTATCTCTCCCCACTCCTTGGCTGAGTTTAGGAGCTCAGAAGAAAAGTCCACTTTAAATGATTTTAACAATAACAAACTCTATTTTAATTTATAGTAAAATTTGTCTAGTTTACAGAGAAGCAATCGTTTTTTATTTCGTCAATTTCAAAAAATTGGAGGCCATAGCACCTAATTATTTCTTTACTAAATTTAAAGCATTGTGAGGAGATACCTGTATGGGGAATTGACCACTAAAGTTGTCACATTGCAGCAGTATTTCTGACTGGTTTGCTTTTTTTGTTTCTATTAGTAACGAGCCATTTCTATTTTTTTAATATCTTTTAGGTCTTCTACGAATCCTGTCAAGAACTGATTTATATAAGAAGGTGATACTTTTTGGAAATCATGCTCATCGGATCTTTGTATGATGAGGAATGTTTGGTTTGCATTGTATTCGGGTAATATTTTAATACGACCACGAGGTCGTTTTCTTTTTTCCTTGGGGCTTCTAAGATCTACGGGGTCTCCCGTAGATAAAATAAATTAAAAACGATAACAATATCCTCAGATTAAAATAAAATTAGAGAAAAAAATATGTGTATGTTAATTAAGAATATATATATTTTTTAAATTTATTTATTCAGATATATAATAATCTGTCATACGGACAATAATTATGGTGAGATTTGAACACATTCACACCATATATATAGAAAACATAAAATTAAGAATAATTAAAAAGAAGAAATAAATAAAATGAATTTGCTTATTATCTTTTAGTTGCCTAGGTCTAGCGCAGAGCGACGTCCTCTCTCTCTCTCTCTCTCTCTCCTAACTTAAATCATTAACTTATTTAATACAAGAAAAAAGTCTATATTTAATGAAAGAATATATAAAAAGTTGGATTCTCGTATTTTTATAGGGTAGAGATCTCCAAACTATGGTCCACGGGCCGCATCTTTTTAAATTACATGGTAAAATTTTAAAAAATGAGAAATTTAGCAAATTATCCACACAAGAGGTTACTAAAACATTTATTGTATGTTTTATTTCTATTAGAAAGCTCATTTTACAACTGTAGTGTTGTGTATAGAGCAAGATTATTTTTTCATCAGAAGCCATTGACCGCGGGACCATAACTCAAAGAATAAAGGTAAGAATAAGTGCTACTCATGAAGGACTAGTTGTGTGATAATTTATTGATAGCTCCCCGAAATATATTGCGTGTGTTATTCATTGGCTAAATTATATGTTTAAATTAAAATTTTTTTTTTGGTTGCTTGTTTTTGGTTGGGTGTGGAGGGAAGGGGATTACCTTTAATCTGTTTAATGGTTTATCCGGTTTCGTAGAAATTTGAAACACGTGTTATTTTTTGTCCAAATTAAAATAATAAACAATTTAAAAAATATTAAGATTCAGAGCCAATATTATTTTTGGGAAGTTAATTAAAATAATTAACAAAAATTATTTGTAAATTGGAGAATTTCTAATATCATAAGTATAACAAAAAAAGAACAAACATTGTTGATGTGAAAAGAGAAGGAAGGCGCATGCACGAGCTCTATTGATTAAAAGGTGTAGGCGTGTAGGTTGAACTCAATTGTGGCTATCCTGGAAATATGCAGCTTAGATGCCAAGAAAGGCTCCTTTTAACGTAATATTCGCCTCTAGTAAGTAAAAAATAATTATTCTCCTGTCAGGTTTTAATATCAGTTATAGGTGAGGTTTTTTCAGTTTTTTTTATATGTTAGGTGAGGATGAAAAATTCAGAGCTAGTGAATTGGATGAGCATGGACCTACCGTTAAGGGATGGCAATCTCACAGGTACTTATTATTTTAAGTAGCCCTATCATAGCTGGTTGTTTTTTTAACATATTGTAATTATTCTTTTAAATATAATATCTTATATACACCCTTTTGTGATATAATCGGAGTACAATAGAAGAAATTACAATTATTATGAGAAACCATGATTTTTTTAACTATCAATTTAAAAACTATTGGCTTATATTATGAAAAAAATTGTTTCATATTTATAAAAGCTTTTAATAAGAAGAAATAACCTACTGTCTATTTATTTCTCAAATTTTTTGATGCACTGAAACGATTTATAAAATGTCAGATAATTTAAGACTCATATGGTCAAACCTGTTCCAAAATATTCAACATATTTAACAAGTATTTTTTACAAAAAAATAAAATGAAAAATCAATTGTATGCAACATCGTGTATTAGCAATATCACAATGGTGTCGGACATTGTAAATGTTTGATTATTCTTTCAAATACTTCACAATGGAGCAGTAGCATATATTGTTGTTAGCCACGCTCAATGTTAGCATAGTGAGAGGAGTGAATTAAATTGTATAGCCACGCTCTATGTTAGCATAATGAGATGAGTGAATTGATTTTATTTCAATAAAACCAGCATTGGCTAGTTGTAGATATTAATCTAAAGTCCACAGCCCTTCAGAAAAAAACCATTGGCATTTACCTCAGAAATAATCATAAATCATTATTTAAGTCTGGAATAAGTACTGATTAATTTACTTAACTACACAGTTATATTAAAAAGTACTCGATTAATAACTCCTATTTGGTTAATAACAAACAACAAAATAATTATCAAATAACTTCATAGTCATTTAATCAAATAATAATAAAATATGAAATGTATCAAATATTTAAACTAAGGTCCGATAATTAAATGTGTTTCAGGTACTGTCAATTTCCTCAAGAAATAATCTTTAGACTCCATTATCCAATAACTTTGACGCAGGTGCAGATCTTGGCTCATCAGTACCTGATACGTGAGTGATATTTATCATCATCGTAGTTATCTTATCATTAACATTATTCCATTTTAACTTAACTAAAGTGGATTCCATCTTATTATATTAATCGTTTAATCACCTCGTAAATGAATTTTATAATCTTATTATTTTATTCTGTATTGATTGCTAAGAATACTTTTATCAGCTATACTTATAGATTTAAAAAAAAAAATCATAAATTTATTATTGCTGGTGGATTTCACTTGATTAAAAAAAAGTATTTCCCCCCTCTTCGTATTGTATTTGGTAATTAAAATATCAAACATAAAAGGGGTTTATGAGTATTGTCATGCCATTATGTTCTAAACATTTTTTTCAACGTATATGGTTCCATATTTGTTCATGTTTTGTTAGGTCAATTCTGTATGCGTTTTCAGCGTTGCTGAAATTAGACAGACTAATTGTGTTTCACACAGGTGTATTCGGTGGATCGTGTGTAATGCATTTTCTGATGTTCAGTCAGTCGATATTTTCACATCTTGTGACATATAAAATGCCAGTTCCTCTAGATTGCCTATGGTCTGAGAATAATAAAAAGAAATAAAAATTCTTTGTTTTTATTCAAATTTATAACTTTGCTAGCACCAGTAAATTTCTCCCAACTTACAGAAATGTTTTTTATTTCATGTTAGAACAAACTTTCTGGTTTTTGATCAGTAAACTAGAAACATGAAAACTTTACGTTGTTTATTATATCTTGAAATAATGTTTCAAAAAAATGTGCCATGCTCTCTGGAAGAATTGTTGTTAGGCGACGACAAGTAAGGTTGATACTGCCACTAACGGATTTAGGGTTTAATTTGCGGGGGCCTACCTTACTGACAGATACTTCAAAGTCAATCATAACAATGCTTATTCATCTCTTTTTACTCAGTCTGCCGGTGTTCCTCAAGGTAGTATCCTAGGTCCTATCCTTTACACAGTTTATACAGCTGACATCCCAACTCAATCCAACACTGTCATCACCACCTATGCCGATGACACGTGTATTCTATCAGTTAATAACGATCCATCTATTGCATTCCAAACTATTCAATCACATATCACAAGCCTTGAAAAATGGTGTCAAAACTGGGGGATTAAAATAAATTCCAATAAATCCCATCAAATAACCTTCACTCTTCGTCGTAAGCCTATGACTTCCTGTTCTACAGTATCCTTCAACAATAGCCCTCTTATCCCTGTCGAACAAATCCGATACTTAGGACTCCACCTTGAGACTTTAGCAATCACCTAGAGATACCTAGGAATCACTTGAGACTTTATTGTACAACTTAATCCCTTCCTACTCAAACATCATCCTCTCCGGTGACTTTAACACCAATTTACTGGCACCATCCTCTGATTATTCCTACCTAACAAACCTCTTTAATTCTCTCAGCCTTTACATAGTACCCTACAATCCAACCCATCATACTCAGTATTCAGAGTCCTGGCTCGATCTAATTATCCTGGATTCCTCAGACAAACTCCTTGCCGCATCTCAGCACCCGGTTCCGTTTCTATCTTCCCACGATCTTGTCCAGATCTCTTACAATGTCCCTGTTCCATCCTTTTCTCCCCGAACAATATCCTTCCGAAACCTAGATTATCTCACTCACGAAACATTGTCAGAAGATCTTGACGATATCCAGTGGGATCCCATCTACTCCTCAAAATCCATAGACACCATGGTAGAAATCCTTACCACTCAACTTCACTCTATCCTCGACCGACATGCTCCTCTTATCACAAAAACCATCCGATATCCTCCAGCTCCTTGGCTTACTCCTGCTTTGAGGGAGTGTATGAGAGAAAGAGATGCTGCAAGGCGACGGTTTAAACGAACTCGACTTCCTGATGATTTTCTCTCCTACAAACAGCTTCGAAATAGCACTCAATCAGCAGTACGCCGTGCTAAATCCCGTTACTACCATCATTCCCTATCCAACTCTCCCAATACCAAGGCTACGTGGGCTATTCTTAGAAAACTGACCATTAGTAATGCACCCCAGTCTCAGTCCAATTCCGTTTCTGCTGATAACCTCAACGCTCACTTTGTCTCCTGTCCTCTTGCATCCACATCTTCCACGTCCAGTCTGGCTCCTATGTTCTCTTCCTTTAATCCTGACCACTTCTTTCTTTCCCATATTACACCAGATGAGCTCCTTAAATCCATTCAGAAGTCCCATACCAATGGATTACGGTCCCGACAACATCCCAGTCAGACTGATTAAAGCCGCATTGCCATCCATTCTTCCGATCCTTTATCATATATAAAATTATTCTCTTCAAAATGCTACCTTCCCTACATCCTGGAAAACCGCCCTAGTACGCCCATTGAAGAAGACTTCAAACCCATCAGTTCCTAATGATTTCCGACCGATTTCCCTCCTTTCAAATCTCTCAAAACCATTAGAGCGGTTAGTCCAAGCCCAGCTATCCCATTTTTTAGAGGACTATAATCTCCTAAATCCCTACCAGTCCGGTTTCAGGCCTGGTTATTCTACTCAGTCTGCCCTAATCAAAATTCCCCAAGACCTTCACACAGCCATAGATCAGCAGAAACTAACCATCCTTATTCTCCTAGACTTCTCCAAAGCTTTTGATTCAGTAGACCACAACATCCTCCTAACCAAACTTAAAAATATCTCTTTTTCTTCTAGTTCCCTTAATTGGTTCCAATCCTTCCTAACCGGTCGCTCCCAGTACGTTGTAATTCCTAATAATCCACCATCAGAATCTCTACCTCTGACCAGAGGCGTCCCACAAGGCTCTTCCTTATCCCCCACCCTTTTCTCCATTTATATAAATGACCTCCCATCCTCTATCCTGCACTGTCATTACCACCTGTATGCCGACGACATTCAAATTTACCTCTCCTTTAATCCGACAGATATCTCAGATGCCACTCAAAAACTTCAGGAAGATATTGACAGAATAAGTGCTTGGGCAAACCTCAATAGGCTCACTCTGAACGCCGAGAAGACAAAAGCCATCTTGATCGGATCCCCTTCACTCCTCAAATCTTCCCCGGTATCTCCCAATCTCTTCCTGAACAATTCATCTATCTTATTCTACACCACCGTTAAAAACCTAGGTGTTACTTTCGATCAATCCCTATCCTGGAAACCTCACATCTCCCAAATTTCCCGTCGCACTATCTCCACCCTAAAACAGTTCAATCGTCTACGATATCTCCTTCCATATAAGTTCCGTCAACTCCTAGTTTCCTCCCTTGTTTTCCCCCACTTCGACTATGGCTGTATGGTGTACGGTGGACTCCCGGGAGATTCCGAGGCCAAACTTAAACGCCTAATGAATTGCGCACTATCAATCTCAAGGGATACGCATATTAGCCAGTATTACACTGAGTTGAGGTGGCTCTACCCATCCTATCGCCGTCAGTACTTCCTAGCCACCTTTCTGTACCAAATCATTAGAACCCATCGACCCACCTATATTTTTCACAGCTTACAATTCAAATATTCCATCCAATCCCGTCCCACCAGATCTCGTACTTCCGACCTCTATCCTCCTCCTCACCGAACTGCTGCGTTTGACAAATCCTTTGTAATACAAGCCGCCTCCCTCTGGAATTCCATCCCAGGTGATATTCGACACGCTCAGTCAGTTTTCTCGTTTAAACCTCTCCTCTTTAAACACCTACTCCTTTCTCAATCCGAATGATTGTGAAATATATCTAAGAGAAATATCTGAGCACCACATATGTACAATTTACTTGTTCTTTTCTTTCTCTTTTCTGTATTTTTATCGTAAGTCAACTTTCATTGTAAATATACAATTTAATTGTAGCCACACAGACATATAATCTGTATTCATATTTTGTTCTTAAGGGACAACAGTCCCAGAATAATAAAACATTTTTTTCATTTCATTTCATTTCACCTTAACTAGACAAACGATCTAAGCTTTCAATCGATTATAAACGACTCGTATATATGACAATAATAAGACCTATTTGGACTTACGGAATTGAGCTTTGGGGCTCCACTAAACCATCGAGTTCCTCTCGTATCCAATCCTTGGACAATCCAAAATCTTTCCTAAAATCCTCAATGCTCCCAACTTTGTTACAAATAAAACAATCCATAATGACGTTAATGTTTCTTATATTTCAGATCTGGCTCAATTCAGATACCCATCCTTCCATAATAAACTTCAGAATCATCCCAACCCTCTCGTTTCAAACCTTCCGCTTCCTCCTCTATCCCTGATAACCCTCCGAGGCGTCTGAAAAGAAGATGGCCTCGGGATCTTCTAATATAGAACTTTAATTTGAGTTCTACCAATGGGTAGTTTCTCTTCATGTTGTACATGTCATGTTACCAATTTCACATTTACTTATTGTATTTTCTATGTAATACAGTTGTAAATTCCATTAAAATAATAAAAAAAAAATTGCGGGGGGAGGGGCTTCATCTCGAAAGCTTTATAAAACTATAATTGCTTTGGAAAAAAAAGAAAGAAACTATATGGAATGGTGTATAAATAATTCTTGAAGTCCTATTAATGTAATTACACGAACTTTTAGAAATAATATTTTATTATTTTTTCATAAGACATGGTTATATTTTACCATATTTTTTTAGGGGGGAGGGAGCTTCAGCCCGAAAGCCTCCCCCGTGGATCCGCCTGTGGACATTGTCAGTTACGTTTTTAAAAGTTAAGCGAATTGAAATGTGAAGTTCTACCTAATATATCATCTTAATTTGACGGTATTTCAACTGACTATATTTTTTTTCAGTGTGATTGAGGCATTTTTAGTAAAAAAAAGTATTCCAAAATGAAAATGAGATAGATGATTTTCTTAGTAATTTAAATTAAAAAATAATATCGTTAAAATCTGTGTTTCCTTACTTGCTTCAAACCCTAGAAACTGAAATTTCAGCCAATTCTAGAAGGTGTTCCTTCTAGTCTTAAATCAATTAAGTTTTGATGGAATTCTCACAGAAGATATGCTATTGTTGCTTCAT